CGGCTGTTCGAGAGCCACTGCTGCCGTGGGGTTTCGGTTACCTGGACCCTTACATGGTGCATCACTTTCTGGTTACAAATGATATCTGTTTTCCCTGGAAATATCTCTGATTTCTTTTTCTTTTTTTTTTTTCTTAGGTACGAGATGTTTATCTTGGACCTTATTCGTGTCTTTTAAAATATATTTGCAAGTTCACTGGTGTAAATCTGCAATACGATGTATTGATCTGCATTCGTACTTTACCTAGAAGAACCAACGCTCGCTCTCAACCAGTGCACAGAGATGCTGGGAAAAGTCACCGGTAATGATTAAGTAAACGCCGCACGAGCTGTTTTTAGCCTCGCGGCTTTGCGATGCTGCCGTCTGCATTGCCACCTAGCGGCACTGCCCCGGCCCCGGCCTCGGAGGCCCACGCGAAATCCTGACCCGCGGCGCCGGTCCGCCGGCAGCAGAGGGGGCTGGCAACACCCGGGGAAAGGCTGCCCGTAGGGCTCGTTATTTTAATGAAATCAGAGCATGCCAATCATTTTTTCCCCCTCCTCCGGGCTGTTTGCTGAACTAGGTTAATCCAAGTATAAAAAGTGAAATACGTATGTTTACTCCTGTTTCAGTCCACGGGAAAAAATGAAGCCCTGGAGCACAACGTGGGGATGGGACACGGGAAGCCCCGGGCAGCGCGTGCAGGGCTGGACGGGGAGGGAAGGGAGCCCTGCACCGATGCCTCCAGGGGAGGTCGTAGCAGGAGAAAGAGGCGAGCGAGCCCTGCAAAATCAGCTGTTCAAAGCTTTTCTTCACCGTCATTTTAAAATCTCCAGGAAGCTTCTAAACACACTCTTCACTTCAGGAGAACAGCTCACTGATTGCCTTGCTTTTTTCCTACAATAAATAACATCCAGTTCTTCCTGCTTGGACTCACTTGCGTGTGCTCATTTGTTTTTATTCCCCGTCGGTTTTCCTCAATACCAAGCATTGTTTATTTGTCCTCTTTAACGGAACGAATCAGCCCTAAAGCAAATCATATGTGACACAGGACTTTGACCTCATTTACGCAGCGCAGGTCTGGGAGAAACTCGGTGGCTTCAGCAGGGTTGCTCTGCACGTAAACGAGCAATGCCAAGTTATTTACCTTTCCCCCTTGCCGCTTCTTCCTCAGCAACCCAAAACCTCACTCTGCCTTCGAGAGCTGGCGTCCTCCTTCTTCACAGGAGGAGAAGACAGGCCAGCAGGAGAAGACACAAACCCACAGCGTATCGAGCAGCATCTTCAGTCCCGCAAGGGCGATGCTGCTATCCGGAGCTCCCCATCCAAGAGAAGCTGTATTTAACGCCTCGACTTAAACACAGACCTAAATGCAAACTCGCCTCGTGGGGTGGCCTCTGAGACCCTTGTCAGCCCAGCTCAGGCACCAGAACAAGGTGGCAACGTGGGAAAAACCTCGAGCACCCTCTACGCCGGGTCCAGCCTGGTCTGCAGAGGGATGTAGCTGGGAAGGTCTCCAGCTGCTGGGGGGCCTCAAAGAGAGGGGCAGCTGATGAAAGACACACACAGAAGTACCTGTGAAATACTGGTTATATTTCTGTTCCTTTTATAGCAATATAATACTTTACATGAGACTGGGAAACATACATTCGAAGAGGGTTGGTTTTTTTTTTAAATTACCTGTACACCTACATAATATATTTATGGAATATGAACACATTTTTGCTACTTAATTAAGCCCATGACTTTTCAGTCCCACACTGACATAATAAGCCACCCGAATCCTGTGAGGTTTCCTTTTGCTCTTGATATACACATTCAGATAAAGCTCCTTTTATAAACACTAGAATTGCATCGCAATATCTTTTTTATGTAATATATATATATATGTAAGTATATATTAAAAAAACCCCACAGCTTCTACCTTTCATACATACATCATACATAAAATATGTTCCCAAAATACATTCATGCATTTTCCCCTTCCAAAGGTTCCTGCTTGTACCCGAAGTGTCTGTGAGCTGTGAAGGGCGGTCGCTGGGACAGGGCTGGAGGGACCGGCTCTTGGATGCACGTGCCTATGAAACTGGGTGAGGGTTATGAAAACCTTTTGGCATTTGTGGACTGCTGGGGTTAATTCCTGCCCAAAGGCCCTCAGGAAGAGCAGCTTTCAGTGTCCCCTGGGGCTCACCTGCTTCTTCCCTTCCCGTCCACCTCCGGGGAGATACTGCGCAGAGGTGCATGTGCCTCAGTGCATGCACTTTTGTGCCCAAAACCACACTTGGAGGCTCACAATACAGCAGAAAGCGTGAGCCTGGTGCTACAGCCACCCTCACGAGCCCAGACCTTGCTGAGCTGCCGCACTGGGCCCAGGCTGTTCCCACCATACCCGAGGCCATCCATACGGCACCAGCGGCTGATGTTCAAGCAGACCAAGCCCACCCTTCACCTCACTGCTAACGCTCCCAGGCTTTTTAGCAGTGACCACGTTACCAGAGGCACTGAAGTCCTTCCAGTGCTACACAACAGTTGGCAAAACGGGACTTTTGAAAGGGCAAGCTAGCTCCTGGGCTTTGGTTGAAGAGGATGTGCGAATGGAAGAGGTTTGCTTTCTTTAAAGCCACTCAGGGATGAGGATTGACCTCATTCGCGTTTATACCCCCAGTACTGCTTTCCCTATTTGCAATGGGAGAGGACTAACCTCGAGCAGGCTTTACCTTCACTCGGAGCAGATTTGGTCCTTAGATAACTAACTAAAACCAGCTTCCCATCCTGTGTCCATTTATGAAAACATAAATATACAAAATATCTACAGAGTAATTCTAAATAGCATCTGGCACAAAATCAGCACTGTACGCCCTGTCCCGGTGAGCTGGTTTTTTACAGTGTAGGATTGCCGGGGTCGGCCACAATCTTCCCATGGGCCTCCACCTACCCTCAGAGTTGTACCTGGATTTTTTGTCTGTGCAAATATGTGCAGACTAAG